AAAGTGTGTGTCTGGAAGCTTGGCTGAACCACCACCGATTCCGTGTGCCCCCGCCCCCTCCCCATCTCCAAGTTGTAGACCTTGCTTTATCAGGATAAATAACCTTAATTTAAAAATATTTCCTCCATAACTGGCTTCTGACTTAATGGGCTAGAAGGGAGGAATAAAATAGTATAAAGGATACCTGAGGCCTTGAAACTGACTGATTTGAAGAATAGAATGCTGCTGCCGGCTTATTGTATGCCTTAGTCTGCTCTCACCACGCATATTCCCAACCTTACTTTCAAATTTCCTTTTCCTTTCACTAATTCTTCAGTTAATGTTTTTCCAATTTCAGTAGGTACTGGTTGTTGCAGGGATATGAGGGATGAGCATTGCTATGTTAGTTTTATTTCCTTATTGCTATTAGATCATAGACACCATCTGAAGTCTCCATCTACTCAGGGTTAGTGGTTTAGATGACTTAAAATGACCTGACTGTATTACCATGGCCATTTTGAATGTTACGGAGTTTAAACAGATGCATGCAGAAGTCATTCTTGTTTTAAAATGAGAGGGTGGATTTGGTAGTTGAACAACCAGTATGTGGATGAAATGGATCTCTAAGGCATTTCATTTGGTGTTTAAGAAATGTCGGTGATGGAAAAATCAATATGGCTCATTATGAAATGAATTTAAAATCTGGCTAATTAATAGGCTTGAATACAATTACAAATGTGGAATGACTATCCAGTGTACACCTTGCTATAGGGGATTTGCTGCCATTGGTACTCAACCATGTTATTTAATATTTCATTAATGACCTGGAAGAGGTCATAAAATTGTTATCAATAAAGTTTGCAGCCAGTTGAAATCCTAGGGGCAAAAAATGGAGGCATAGTTATGGAAAGTCAGGCTTGTATATTGGGAATTGGTGGGGGGTGTGGAAAGGGAAGCCGGAGTATGTGGGTCAGGGTAGGCAATCAGCAGGCTTTGGCAGTCAGTGTCCTGTGACTGATAGGGCCAGCGTGCTCTTGAGTGTATGCGTAGTGTTATAGATCACGTAAGACCCCTTGTTATTAGGCAGTTTGGTCTGGTCTGCTTCTAGAATACAGTATCTGCCTGGGATATTGATGTGTCAGACATTGAAATCCAGGAGAGAACAGAAGAATGTGAGAAAGATGTTAAAAGAACAGGAAAACAGGCAGATAATAAGAGGCATATGGGGATGAGCCTGCTCAGTTTGACATTCATGGATTTCCAGCTAACTATAAACTGCAAAGTGTTTCCAGTGTAAGGCTCCTAATTAGAGGACAGTGCTGGTCTGTCTTTATTTAATAGGTGTGCTTTATGTTAATGCTTATATAAGACATATCTGCAGGTGGTCAATTCTGTGGAATTTAAAACAAAAGTATTTTATTTAGTTTAAAAGATTTGGCTTGGCTGGGTCCTCATCTGATGTGATTTATGAAGGTTTTATACTTGCATCCTGACTAGTGTTTTATCTGACTGTCTTGGTGGAAGATAAGGATTGGATGAACAAGAGGGTAAACTTCATCACAGGTGGAGTCTCTGCAGAGTTAAAGTTGCTTGCCTGGAAAACAAGGGTGTATTGGAACTATTTTTCCATAAAGCCTTGTTTAATGCTATATATGCCTGTCACATAATGTTTAAAAGACAAATCTCAGTATTTCCAAGGTAGTATCTTTCTAAGTGTTTGCATTTTTAGGTTTTAAGAGCTATTGTAAGCATGTGCAAGTTTGAATTCATGTTGTGCTTCTTACGTGATTTGAAAAGTGGGTTATGCTAGTATTATAGACGATAATTTAGCATGCAGACGTTGTTAAGTGGTAATAGTTTGTAATATAAAAATAACTTTGCTTGATACTTGGATCTCAAAATTCAGCCTTGATTCTTGCAGTCACAGAATTGGGGGTGTTGTAGGGGGGGGGGGGGGGGGAGTGACAGTATGTGGGGGGGTGGGGGGGGGGGGGGGGGGGATGTTTGTCACCCAGTGGCGTTGGATAGGGAAGTTACTGAATGACTCTTTCTCACGTCAAGATATGATGTTTTAAAGAGTCAGTTCTCACAGCTGACCTGTCTGTAAATACCAGAATGAAGATGGTAGTCCACATACAAGTTGGACTTCTCTTGAAACCCGGACCAGATTGTTTTCTCTGGCAGTCCCGTGGAAGCCCCTCTTAAAGTGTCTCGATGCTTTTACTCATGTCAGAGAGTTTTCAAATGTATTGTGAAATGAGCAAACTTCCACTAAGATAGAAGAAGGGTGTGAGTGGCTTTTTTGTTGTTGTGTGGGTTTGTTTTGTGGGTGGTTTTTTTTGGTTTGGTTTTTTGAAACAAGGTTTTTATAATCGAGTAGTTGAGTTCATAACGAATTAGCCTCAAAACCTTAGAGCACCGAAGCTTTTTTCCACACTTATCTCTCAGGTTAGTTTATTCTTAAATATTTGTTAAGTTAGGAGAAAATCTGTCTGGAGGGTGTCATGTCCCCCTCCCCCTCTATCAAATGCTATAATGAACATAATAGGCCATGAGCGTGCTGAGGGTGGCTTCCTGTCAGAACTGCTTTATGTAAAATCGCAAGGAAGCAAACGTTTCTCGTATCCTCCCATTGTGTTGTTTCCTGTGAAGTAGCAGACTGGATGCGTGTCCTGGATACAGGCTTTTTTATGGCACTGTATGTGTTGGGATGATCCAATCAAATCATTCTTGGTATCCCCTATAGTCTCGGTGTAGCAGGGAACGAGGCTTCCTCGCATCCTGTTGTTCTCCAGTTAGCCTGACTTTGGAGAGCTCTTGGCTCTAGCAGAATCCAGAATGAAGGTGAGCTTGAAGTGGATTTAGGATTTTTTTTTTGTAAGTTTAAGCTATAGTTTCTAACCTTTTCCTTAAATGCTCCTTTTTTTTTTAATAGTTCTCTCTCTCCCCTATAGTACCTTTCTGATCCAGTTCTGGTGTCTGCACAAGTGTTTCTTATTTCCTTTTTTGGGATCAGAGCCATTATTTTGTGATTCTGTTCATACTTTTCATTTGCTTGTTTAAAAGCTACCACAATAAGCATATAGCTAACACTGAAAATTTTACACTCCTGATGCTTTTTTGTTCCATCACAGCTTCCCCCCCCGCCCCAATTTGAGCAGTGTTTAAGCTATTTCCAGTCTGGTTTTGCTTTTATGTATTCTGCTATCACCTTATTGCTATCTTTTCTCATGTCTATTATAAATTATGCTATTAATAAAACTTAACATATCTTTAGTCTCTTTGTGTAAAATAAGATACTTTCTTATTTGCCTAGTGTCTTTTATTGTGCACATAGTTTTTAAATACTTCCTCATGTTTTCAGAAAAACCCTACAAAATTCACATCTAGGCAATTCCCCGGTCCCTCCTTACAGCTTCAAATAAATAAGAGTAGTATTTAGATTTTCTGTAGTCCAGTGAAACTTGGTGAAATAGTTATTTGATTTATTTTATGAGTGATAACTGCTTGGAGTGTATTAGTGTTCGCCTCTGCTTGATTTTTGCGTCTGTTTTGTGGCATCGCTCTTCTGAGCTGTATACATACTGCCTGAGTTTGAGAGATGTCAGCACCTGTACAGCTGAGGTAGAACTGCTGCTCACTGGGACCAGAGATGATCCTCAGTCTGCGGGGGGAAAAATGTGCATGTTAACATATGCAAGTACCTCGTACTGTGCTTTGGGAGATTTTTTTTTTCTTACTGAATAATACTGTCATTAAATGTTTCCCAAATCTGCTCTACCTTTTTGTTAGTAGATCACATAACCAGTCACAACTGGTCTGGCAGTCCCTTCTGTGGTTACTTTAGGTAGCTTTCATGAAAATTTTCACTTCTCTTGGGTTTAATCATCCTCCCTGTTTCTCTTGCTGGCCTTCCTTTGTCCCTTCCTGTCGTCTTCCCTGGGAATACGGGTTTTCCCTCTCCTGCCTCTGAAGGCTGCTTTCTGGGGTACAGACTTTCTGATAGTGCCTGTGGGATGGGTCTGTTATCAGGAAAATAAACAGGGTTTTGTTGACTTTTTAGATAAAAGCAGCTACACTGCGGGAAACTGAATCTCTTTCTGTTTCTTAAATCAGTTGGAACAACTGTAATAGCTGTCTTTTATCGTCCTCTTTCTAGTCTTGCACAAGGGAATACTGTGACTCCTTTCAACCTGTGCAGAACATTGGGAGAGCTATTTTCATGAGATGAGTGGATTGGATGAGTGTTTCCATTACCTCAGGCAATTATTATGGGTCTCTTTTTTTTTAAATCTCCTCTTTTCTCCCTGAAAATCCAGATGTTTAATGTCATCACTCAGCGCTTGAAAGTTACTGGAGTGTTTTCTACAAGGTAGTTTGAGATTTGGATCTCTCTCCCGCAGTTAAAAAATAAAATAACCCCCAGCTTTCATCCCTCCCTTTCCCAAACCTCATTCTCCATCTAACCTATCCAGCAAATTCACTCTTCGTAAAATTCATTAATTTTCAGGAATGCTGCCTTCCTCTGTGTCTTGTAGAATAAAGAGATGGCACATAGGCTGTTGTAGTACTTTTTAAAGTATTTGTAGTAATTTTAAAAATATCTTATGAACAATCAGGTACTGTGCCTGTGAGCTGCTACAGAAAAAGAAGAGTATGCCAAGAGTAATGGTACCCAGTAACTTTTTTTGGCCAAACTGTCTGAGGAAGGCTTTTCTCTTCTGATAATACATTTTATTCAACTTTCCTGTAATTTAAATGACACTTGGTATTTTTAGCTTACGTTCTTCATTTTTTCTCAAATGCAGCCATTTCTATATTCTTTTTCTGTTTAAAAATGTGTGACTTTTTTTTTTTAAAGGGAAAAAAATCCCCACAGTTTTACTGGTCCGTGACAGCCACTGAAAGACTGACACCTTGATCAGACAATAGCTTCTATAGTCGTGGTTTGTGTGATAGCATAGACATGCTTAGTTTAAAGGCTTGTTTCTATGACTTATTGTAAGTTCTTTTGTTTTCAGACTTTTGATGCAAATGACCTGTATCAGGGACAGAATTTCAGCAAAGTTCTCAGCTCTCTCGTGGCTTTAAATAAGGTGACTGCAGGTAAGTAGACTCTGCTCTGTCCTGGTGCTTGTTTACCTTACCTTCAACTTATGTCAATGTATATTTATACCTGTTGCTGTACTCACGATAAAATGAACGTGTACAGTGTTTTAGAAGGGCTTCTTTGTTGCAGTTTGTTGTTACGACTTTGGCAGTGGTCTCTCCGGATTCTCTCATGTCCTCTTCTGCAGAAGGAAGCTTTGCAGTGGAGCAAAGGCTGAGCCTTTTAGCTGGCAAGAATTTTTAGGAAAAAAGCCCCATTTTTTTTTTTTCCCTTTTTTCAGTTTGAAATACTAAAAGTTGACTTTTGCCCCACTCTGTCATTCCTGTGTTTGAACACTTCTGCAAATGTTCTTGTCATGTTGTCCCCCCACTCCCCATTCCCCAGCACTGTCCTTTCTTGACAGTAACAAAAGGATAGGCAACATCTCTGATCTCTTTATCCATGCATGTTTCATTGAGGTAGCAACTAGAACCACCTACCTCAAGTTCTTTGGGAGGAAGAGAGTGCTGTAGAAATAGCACACAGGTGAGAGGTGTCCATGCTTTGTTGTCAGGTGAGGCTGTACTAAACTATGTCAGCTGGACCCCGGGATGGTCAAGAAATGCTAACATTGGTGGCCCTTTTTGCTGCTCTGTGCTGGGGTTTTACATTGTCAGCAGCAAGTTCCAGTAATGGTTATCAGGTTAGAGTCTGGTGAGAGAGAGGTATTATTTAAAAATGGACCACGCTTGTCAATTTTTATGTTGGGAGGTAAAGGAAGATGATAGAAAAGTCGGTGGTTGGTCAGTGTTATTTTGTTTAATAATAAGTATCTTGTTGCTTTTATAATACTCCTCTGGTCCGTTACAACAGGGATTTTTTTTGTGGCTTTTTTTTCTCCTTGCATCAGAAAACACCCCTTAGGAGTGAGTTTTACAACCAAATTCTTAGTTCTAATGAATGGGCATGGAGTAATAATACCATTGACGACTTTGAAGCTACTTACACCAGTTGATGATACTGCCTTTCATCTTAACTGCAAGTGCAAATGTAAACCATTTCAGTACATCTTTAAAGCTGCTGTACACTGACCATAGCTGTCTTTAAAGGGGAGGAAAAGTGTGGCTGTTTGGTCCAGACAGCAATAGATTAATACCCACATCAAAAAGCCACAATTGTAGCTGGCCTTGGAAAGGACATAGGCTGATCCCTTTCATGGGAGGGTGTGGTGCTATAGAAACCAAAAATCAAAACCACATGCGAACTGTGGTGTTGCCTCATTCCTAGGAGCAAGCAGAGCTGCATGAATCTTCCTGACCAACTGTTCTTCCAAACAATTTTCTTTAATTGGGTGACTGTGTAGAAAGCATTTTAGACTCCGTCTCCCTACTGTAGTACTGGAAGGTGGCTTTCAGATCCCCATCTGGGTCTGCAAGAATTTCAGGTATACACATGTTCACACTCCATCAAATTCTTTAAGTTCAGGAGGGGCAGGATCAAGGTACTAGTTGCTGTTTGTAGACAGATAAGGGGAGAGGAACTGGTATAGGGAAGCTGAGATAATGGTGGAAAAGAAGAAAGGGTGTTACAAACCCTGGAAATCTTTGGATGGAGGGATGGATAGAAGTGTGAAGCTTCTGTGAAATCTACCAAATTAGTATTTGTCAAATATGCACATTGTGTTGCCAGTCAAGATTCTTGAGTTTTTAGCAGCAGAGTTGAATTCTTTTCTGACAATAGTCCCATTGAGAAATTCATTGAACATGTTTATTTGGTATTTTAATGGAAACTTTAATGGATACATGGGGCCTGCAAGCCTTTTAAGTCTATCAAAAGTTCAAATTCATTTAAAAGTATTCAGATATTATTGGTAAAAGTACTTGCAATTTGCATGTGGTTTGTTTGTAATAATTTTCCTTCTCTTCAGCTCAGACACATGCAGTTTCTAATTCAAGCCTCAAAAGGTGCTCTTGTGTTGGTGTATTAGATCTGCTGTTGTGAAATAGAAAATTTTGGGAATCAGGCCACATTTAAACAATTTCTAGGTTATGTGTTTTAGGGCTGCCCAGAGGCTGGAACACACTGCCATGAGTCAGCCTGATCCTGTTTTCCTAGGTGAACTGTGTCAAGGTATAATGCTGGATTTGGTAGTCTATCTGTCCTTCTACTTGACTGCAGATAGGAAACACAGCAAACTGGACATGGAGATGCTTCAGGTTACTCATATCCCTGAAGTGCTATTAGTTACTGATGGTTATGGCAACTTTGAAGTTTTTGGGAGCATTAGAATTAGCCATAAAGTTACGATTTACAAACGAAGCCTATGATCTATTCTCATTTCTCTCCCAGCAGTCTGTGAAAACAAAGATGTAAGTTCTTTCTGTAATGGACTATAATCACTAGTGTTTGTATTTATACAAAGGCCTTCAAATGCTTTTAGGAAAGCAGGCTCGCAAAGTGTGAGGTCTTTTATGATTTGAATGTGTAATGATACTATCCATACAAAATACGCAACTTAATATGAATAATTCTAATATTGCACTACTTGATGACTAGGGTGTGTATATTTGTAGTTTTTTTGAAGGATAATGATTTTTGAAGGATGACAAAGACTATTTAAAAAGATGCACCTGAGGAAGGTGTTCTCTGCTCAGTCGCTGCAGACTTGGAGCATCCTTTGTCAACACTTTTCTTTTGTGTTCATTGTTCATTTCCCTCTTCCTGCATCTCGGCTGCTGTTAGATGCCGTGCGGAAGTTGAAAGGCTTTCCAGTTAAGGTGAATTGAATTCTCCCTTCAGGTTTGATGTGGAACAGTAGACATGCTTTGTTCACCAGTCTCCTCATGGAACTGCACCTACGTGTGTATTTCCCTTTGACCAAAAGTAACTAGGATTGCATAATTGTTGTCTGGTTTAGTCTGAAAGTAACTGAGAGACTGTAGTGTGCGTGTACCTCTGATGGAGGTAGAGTGTTGGAGGCAAAGCAAACTACTAGGAAAGAGAGTAACAGACATAAAAACCAGCAGAGCAGTTGGGGTGCTTGTGTAGTCTAGTGAAAACATCTTAAGTTTGGGACAGAAAATAGTGCATTGCTTTTGGGGCTCCTTGAAGCTCAGATGCTCGCTGAACGATTTCCTTGTATGTGGGAAAACACGAGGAGAAGGAATGACTTGCATACTCATGCAAAGGAGCAATGTTTGTCTGCCATAACGTGTCACCTGTGCAAGGGCCCTGGGAGCATCCCCCTCCTGGGGGTTTGGCTGTGAGGGCTGGGGGAGCTGGTGCAGCCAGGAGCAACCCCTGTCCCACCGTAACGCTGGGGAGAGGCTCCCAGCAGCGCTGCGGGAGGTCATGGCCAGCACTGACCCTGGCCCTTAGGAGCCGCTTTCGGTGCAGCCCGGCCCCTGTCTGGCTGTGGCCTGCTAATCCGCATGAGGACACCCCACCGTAGGTGGGCCGACACTCCATCCCCAGGGAGGTGCCCGATGTCCGGGGCTGGGGCTGCCCCGGTGTCCAGCTTCCCTGCTCCTGGCTGGGGTGGTGGGGTGAGCCCTGCCCTGCCACCCCCTCGATGCCTCCCAGCCCACAGGGACCCTAGTGGCACCCTGACAGCGAGTAACGCTGCCCCTCAGATGAACATCTTGCAAATGGGTGTGCTGCTCGGAGCAGAGAAAAAAGAAAGAAGGGAGAGGTTTTGGGGCAGTGTTGTTTTTCTGAGCAAGCAGCTTTCTTCCTTTCTACTTCTCCTATCCCTCCCTCTTCCTCCAAAGAAGAAGAAATAGCTTAGTTGGCAAAAAAGGGATGAGACAAAGGAACATAGGAAAAAAAGACAGTGGAAGGAATGTTTTAATTGAGAAGATGATGGTGGTGGTGGGGAAGAGCTAGGAAACAGATGTGGCTGGCTCTACTTCAAGCAAGTTTTATGCATTCAAAATTCTTGGCCGCTAGCTAAAATGATGCTGGTTAATTACCTTTAAATAGACTGGTAGTGAGTAGGAATGGAGAAATACAACCCTAACCCTCCTCTTCCTAAACAGCTCAAGTTGTTTTCCTGTCTGTGTGGGGAAGAAACTGCCAGTGTCTCAGGATTTCAGATCATTTATTACTATAATTTTTTTTAATCTTGAATTATTGAGCAACTACAGATACATTGAATCTGCTTAAAGCAAGTGAGTTTTACAGAAGTAAGCAGAAGTGATATGCAGATTTCTCAAATTCTAACATTTACTTTTTTTTTCCCCTCCTACAGACATAGGGCTGGGCAGTGACTCTGTATGCGCACGTCCCTCATCTCATCGGATAAAATCTTTTGATTCTCTGGGATCCCAGTCTTTACACAGTAGAACTTCAAAACTCTTTCAGGGACAATATCGGAGTTTGGTAAGTTCTAGAGGAAATGAAACATGCTGTGGTGTGACTTTTTTTTTCTTTTTTCTTTTTTCTTTTGACAAGATTTATAAGTAAACAATAGTGCAGCAAGGAAACTGTTCCCTCTGACTTCTGTATTTCAAGCCTGTGACATCCTATTTTTGCAGCTTTTCTTATGATGTTCCAAAATACATGCAGCTTTCTGTGAACTTCTAATTATTCTTTTTCCTCACTGCATATGCAGGCAACATGGAGTGGTATTTTACTGGATTTATTTCTTACTTTTCAGTATAAGGACTTGCTTTTTCAAAGGCAAAAATCTCATTTTCTCCATGTCTTTGGGTTTAGGGATGATGATTGAAGGATAGTCAAACCTCAGCAAAGGTGGTACTTTTAATGTTGGCAGTATTAGTAGTTATTCCAGTTTTCTGTTATGTTTCAAGATGAATCCTTCAACTAGCCTTCAGGTAAATAAATGGTATGGGCAGTTGTTTTACAGTACAGCCGAAATCAGGATGGAGTACTGTATTGAAACTAACTGTGATGAAAGGTGCTTTTAGTGACTAAAAGGTTTGCAAGGAGGGTTCAGATCCTTACTAAATTGCTTTTTCTATGCTTGAAGGAGTCTGTTTTGAACTAAGTGATGATTGCTGTGTGAAACTTTAAACACAGTGCTCTGCTTAAGCTTTCTTAGGTGTGGTTAGATGTGTGTTCTCTGGTAGCAGAGCCCTTGCAAGTTCTTGCCCTAGGCCACTAATTTCAGCTCCCACTCTGCTGTTCACCACCCACTCAGTTTTGCTGATGCAACTGTTTGTGGGACTAGCTGTTAGCTGGATTACTGAAGTAATCGGAGTTTTAAGTATTTCTATCACTTTGGTGATCTGAGCAGCTCTGCAGAAAGTTGCAAAAGGGCAGAGAAGTGCAGAAAGGAGAGAAAGAGAGCTAGTGGCCAAACCTGGGAGATTCTTAGTTTGGTTTTGCTGCTGTAGGTGATCAGTTTAGAACTGTTCTCGCTGAATTTGTACTCAGTTTCCTCTACTGGAGAGCCATCCTGGCAGAGTAAGGGGACTGTGGTTGATGCCACTGTGCAATGTTGCTGCTTATTTTGTGGCTTTTTACCGTTTACTAAGGCAAAACCTTTTCTCTTGTTGAGCAGTCATAGCGGATGAAAGCACATGATGTACAAGCAGAGGACTAAGGCAGAGGCACTTGTTTGAAAATGTGCCGGTCTAATTGTCGAACATTGTGACCTGCAGTATCTTGGGGTTTTCTGCATGTTTTCAAAGTTGTTTGCCTCCATTTTCCTACAGTTTCTCAGCCACTAAAAGTCTGATTGTTAAATTGAGTTGTGATACAGTAACATGATTGCTGTGGATATGACTTAGGCTGACATGTTATATGATCCCAGTGACATTACGCAGTACATCTTTTAATCATCTCAACTATATAGACAACACATAGGTGAAATTCTGCTACCTGGAGAGCTGACTAGGATTGCTTACACAGTCATTTTCTCACTAAGTTACTTTTTTTAGTAATGCAGGTTTTGATCCTTACTTATGATAGAGACAGACATGACATATAGTCCTGTTCTCTTAGTTCCAGGGCAATGGATTGCATTTAGATTATTTAAAGCTGTCCAATTATTTAGCTTTTTTAGCATAAAAGTTTGTCCTAATTCTCATGAAATGCTTAAATGATGCAGATATTCAAAATTGACATCCAAGAACAAAATGCCGAATTCAAACATAATTAATTTTAAAGACTTCTAAGAAGTAGCTATTAACATGGAGTTGTTAAAATAGAGCAATAATCTGCCTGCACATCTGCGATAGGGGATGAGCATATATATATGGACAGCTGCAAGTCTGACATGCTGCAGACGACTTGCTTTGCGGAACTTGAGGCAAATGATTTGTGAGTACTTACTCAAGGTAAATTGCATAACTGTTTCGTAGGTTTTGTGGAAGAACACTGTCCTTCTCCATTGGCAGGCCATGGAGACTTGCACATTCAGGTGTGGAACCTTCCAACCTGATCTGTTACAGGGGGGGAGAGGGGGGAAGTTTTAAGCTGCAAACTTTATTTATATCCAGAATTAAATTAAACCCAACTCTGTTCCACTCTCCTCCCAGCCTGGAAAGTTTTAGAAAAAAACCTCTCTAATGTAAAGCTGTTGTTTCTTTGCAGTTGCCAAAGGCAGTTCCAATTTATACTATATATAGAAAGTAGAATTTGGGGTTTTTTTGAGGGAGTAAGAATGATTCTCATTTTAGCTCTGTTACCCCTTTCTGATTTGAAGGGGCTGTAATAAGACGGTACACTCCCTGGACTGATACAGATCCATAGATTAAAAATAACAGAAACACTGGAAATGGCAAATCATCCCTTACAAATGCTTAGAGTAAAAACGTGTGGGGAGTGTTATGTGTGGAGGAGAGGCTATTTCCATTTTATGGATGCTTCTGTTTTTTCATGGAATAATCATTTAAATCTCTAAAGTGATCTTTTTGTTCTTTGTATTCTCACTTACTAGGACATGACAGATAACAGCAACCATCAGTTGGTGGTGAGAGCAAAATTTAATTTTCAACAGACAAATGAAGATGAACTTTCTTTTTCAAAAGGAGATATTATTCATGTTACAAGAGTGGAAGAAGGAGGCTGGTGGGAAGGAACTCTAAATGGCAAAACAGGGTGGTTTCCAAGTAACTACGTACGAGAAATAAAATCAAATGGTGAGTTTTGAAGGAGAGCATATTTGTGCAAATTCTTGCGTTGGGTAGAGGTTGATAGTTGGTTGATTCATTAAAAAATGTAATGCTTTTTGTTTAAGCTTGACTGTATTTACTGAACTTCATTCACAGTAATCATTAATGCTCAGGAACTCATACTCCCTCATGCAAGTTTGCTATGTAGAGTGGTCTGGGACTTCTGAATTAACAGTAAGCATGGAGAAAACTCCCCCATTCTGTTTGCTTGTCTGTCTGTCTCTGTCACAGTCTGCTCTGACTTCCCTGGTCTGAATTCCTAGAATGCTGGATTTTGGCTCTGATGCTGACATACTTTGAATTGGTGCTTTGGGTTTCAATAGTGAGAGATTTCCTGCAAATCTCTAAAAACAACGACAAACCAAACCGAAACAAACCCCCCAAAACCAACAGCCAGCTACACCAAAAAAATCTCTAAACATGTCCCATTACTTAGAAGCAAACAAACGCAGGAAAAATGCCCAATTCTACTGAAATGTACTAGAAGTTAGAGACAGTTTTTGAAAGATAATGTGTTTGTGATTTCTCTTTATTGTTCATGTGCCTTAAACTTTTCTTTACACAGGCTTCACTCTTCCACTGAGGTTTTATTTTGAACTTCATACAGTGAAAGTGCCCTCTGTAAATGTCATCTTCATGACTATCAGAACTAACATTGCCTTTTAATCCACCGGGACCTTGACGTGGGTGACATCCTCCCTCCCTCTCCCTCCTCTCCCTCC